TCATTTCGTGTTAGTGACAAGCTGGTGGCTCACACAGTGACAGCAGATGTGCTGACAACTCCCTGCAGAGCCCACCTGCTCCTCAGCCTCCCTCTCCCTGTCACAATGTGCATGTATCACCATAGCGTGGCTGTTCCCAGTGTCTTCAATGGCTGGCTTTCTCTTCCAGTGGCTTCTTTATCGGTACAGCTGCATCGACGACTCAGGCTTTGAAAAGTTCCTGCCCAGGGTTTGGTGCCTTCTCCGTCGATATCAGGTACGGTCTCACCACAGCTGTACATCAGAAAGCCTTGGTAGCACTGGGGACTTGTCTTTGCTCTGGGAAAGGGTCACAGCTTTGGGAGCCTGGAGCAACATGGGGTTTAAACTGGGTCTGTAGTCTGCTCATGCTATGCTGAGGTAGGACTGTAGACCGGGGAGTAGTTCTGGTCTTGACACGAGACTTTGGTGTGGGTAAAAATCTTTGTGAAGGAAACCTTCAGTAGCAGTTGACTCTGAGGGGCAGCTGAAGGGTCACGTGGGTACAAGAGAAAACTGATGGTTTTGTGGTGTCAGAGTTGGATAAAATCTCTAAAGAACATTCTTGGGTACATGCAGGGACCTACACGAATTTGAGAAAGGACGAGGGGGCCCTGCATACCTAGAGGAGTGGGTGCATGGACATGTGGCCCTGGGTCCATGCTCAGTGAAGGGAACAGCAGGAACAGCGAGTGCTGGCACGGCTCACCAGGGTTTGCTCTCCTCAGATGATGTTCGGTGTGGGGCTGTATGAAGGGACTGGTCTGCAAGGGGCACTTCCCGTGCACATCTTTGAAGCCCTCCACAAGCTCTTTGGAGTGAGTTTTGAATGCTTTGCCTCGCCCCTGAATTGCTATTTTAAACAGTACTGTTCAGCCTTCTTGGACACAGACGGGTATTTTGGATCCAGGGGGTGAGTATTACGTTCCCTTGCTCTGCGTGGGTGTGGATGCATGCCCGTGAGATGACTCAGGACAAGCTGATGGGGATCTTTGCCTCTTTCTCCAGCCCGTGCCTGGATTTCTTCCCTATAAGTGGTTCTTTTGAGGCAAATCCTCCATTCTGTGAGGAGCTGATGGACGCCATGGTCTCTCACTTTGAGGTATGTCTGCTCACAGTGGGGTTGTTTGGGATGGAGCTGTGCTGTCCATCCTCTGCTCCTCACCATTCCTGTGCCCTGAGGGCAGGGACAGAGGACAGTGACAGCTGGGCACTGCTCTTGAAGCAGAAGCATTTCCTTTCTGTAGGACTCATTAAACACGTCATTGCTCACTCAGTGCTGAGGTTGTTCCTTTTCTTCTTGCACTAGAAACTGCTGGAGAGCTCCAGCGAGCCGCTCTCCTTCATTGTGTTCATCCCTGAGTGGCGGGACCCCCCCACGCCAGCGCTGACGCGCATGGAGCAGAGCAAGTTCAAGCGACACCAGCTCATCCTGCCCGCCTTCGATCACGAGTACCGCAGCGGGTCCCAGCATGTCTGCAAAAAGTAGGCTTTGTTCTCAGATCCTTTGGGAACACAGCTCTGAAGCTGTGTGACAGAAATATCCTCTCCCAAGCTGAAATCAGTGGGAAGCAGGGAGCAGGCAAGGACAAGCGCACACATCATCACTTTGGGTGTTTAGGATGGGCAGACAGCATGGTGAATTCAACGTCTGTTTAATGACTGCTAACTTTAGCTTGTGAGAGGTGTGTGCCTTGGGCACGAGTCCAGCTGGAACAGGTCACACCTGTGGCACTGATCTGTGCCTCTGCCAGCCCTCAGGCCTGGTAGCTGCTTGTGCTGCAGCAGCTGGATGTCACTGGGGGAGCAGAGGCAAGGGGCAGCAGGGGTTTGGTCCCCAGTGGGGCAGCCTGGTCTTTGCTCTGCTGCTGAGGCAACAAGTGTGAGCAGCAGCTTGTTAAAGCAACAGGTGCCTGAACACTGAAGTTCTTACCTGCTTAGGACTGATGCCTCACTGAGTCCCCTCTGCAGGGACAGCAAGGTTCCAGCACATGCGTGTACTGGTAGGGAGCACTGGGACTCTGCAGCACCAGTGTTTTCTTCCCTCTGGAAGCTTAGAAGCCTCTGCTGTACTCAGAACTGCCTGAGGCTACACTGTGCCTCCCTTCTACTCAGAATAATGAGAGAAAGGATAGGACAAATACTTGTCCTAGTGCAGGCAGGAAGAGGAGGAGCAGGTGTTGAGGGCTTTAGGCGGGGACCAGGGGAGGTGCTGATGCCTGTGCTCTTCCCTTGCAGGGAGGAGATGTACTACAAGGCTGTGCACAACACAGCCGTCCTCTTCCTGCAGAACAGCGCCGGCTTTGCCAAGTGGGAGCCCACGCCGGAGCGGCTGCAGGAGCTCGTTGCAGCCTACAAGCATTCAGGCCGAACCCTCAGCTCCTCGTCTTCCTCCTCCTCGTCCTCATCCTCCTCCTCCTCCTCCACAGCGGACAAAGAGCGGGAGCTGGGCCGAGAGCAGAGCAGCAGCCGAGAGACTAATCCCAACTAAGGCAGAGGTGCGAGGCAGCAGGGGAGGTGCCGGTGGCCCCGGGGGAGGCTGGCCGGGGCAGCAGAGACTGCTGGCTGCGCAGCACGGCCCGGGACTCCTGCGCAGCAGCTCCACGGCACCTGCTCTCCTCTGCGAACTGCACGCCAGCCCCCAGGAGCCGGGAGCGTCCGGCGGCCGGTGGGAGAGGAGGCTCAGCCACAGCCCTCAGCAGGGGCAGGGAGCCCAGTGTGGCGCGGCAGGAGGAGCCGGTGGCTCCGCGACGCCGGAGCGCCGAGGGAAGGGACAGCCAGAGCTGGACGCACGCGTGGGCAGGCAGAAGGACGGCGGGACGGACGGACAGACGGAGGGATGGATGATGGTGGCAAGCGCGAGTGCTGGGCGCTGAGCGCCGCGGCCGGAGGGGCCCCGGCAGGAGAGGGACGGGCAGAGCCCGGGGGCTCCTGCGGCCGGACTGCCCGGCACGGCTCCGTGTCCAGAGTGTAAATAGTTCTGTCTGCGGCGCCCACGCTCCTCGTGGGGCTGCTCCCATCGCATCTGTGTTTCTTTCTCATGTGTGAGTCCTGTGTTCGCTGACACTGTGTCCCAGAGGGGAGGAGCAGAGGAGAAGAGTTTCTTTGGTGTGTAAAGATGTCTTTGCAGCTGTTTTGTAGTCATTGTGGTTTTTATGCGGAGCCTCCGGGCTTTATTTAACCTTCTTGGGTTTTGTTTTGTAAGGATTAATTTAACACCGCTAACCATTTTATTACTTTTATCAAGAAGAGCAAAATCTATTTTTGATTTCTGTTTCCTAGTTCTTAGGAACATTAAAACCAGCATACAGCCCTGCTTGTGTCCATGATTTCTTTGGTGTATGGGGTCTGTGCTCACCCCTGTGTGGTCTCTGCCTGGGTGGAAGGCAGAAAAATGTTGGGGTTTGATTTTTCAGAACTGTCTGGCATCTGCCCTCTTCCAGGCAGCCCTGCCCTCCCTGGTGAGTTTTGTTTCCTAATGACCAGTGTGAGCCCTGAAGCAGCCTGATCACCACGCTGCTCCAGTGAGGTTTTGGTGCTCTCCCATTGGAGAAGTGCAGGGAAGTGCACTCTGACTCAAAGTACCTTTGGACTCTGGGGCAGGCAACACAGCCAGCCTCTCCTGTGGGGTGCCACAATGCTGCTGGTGCTGGACCAGTGCCACAGCAGTGACTGTGCCACCCTGAAGTGGGCAGGAATTGCCCAGCACCAGATGCTGCCCACTCCAAGAGGCTTCAAAGCTCTCCAGAGATGCTTTTGATGGTGACAAGAAGATCACTGATGTCCTTTAAGTCAGGGCAGTTGGGAATGTCAGCTGTGAATGTGACAGTTTGTAAAACCTTTTTTCCCTCTTTAATCATTGGTTTTGAGATCACTGATGTCCTTTAAGTCAGGGCAGTTGGGAATGTCAGCTGTGAATGTGACAGTTTGTAAAAAAGTTTCCCTCTTTAATCATTGGTTTTGTCCCAAGATCACCTGCTCCCGGGTGAGCAGAGATGAGCTGATGCTGGGAGTGTGCCTGACCCATCCCGTGGTCAGTCAGTGCACACTGAGCCCTCTGCCTGCTCCCTCAGGTGAGGGGGCAGTTACCTGGTAGAGTATCCAGTGGCCGTGGTCTCACAGGGACGTGTAAGTGAGATCAGTGGCCAGAAGCCTGGTGGCATGGGCTGCTTCTCAAGTCACCTTTATTCTGACAGAGCAAGAGATGATCAACAGGGCACATCAGGTTGACACTGGTGGCATTTCAAGGGCAGATAACCAGAACTAGGTCAGTCTGAGAGGGGCTGTGGTGTGAGGGGCATCTGTGGTAGGGTTGGGAGCAGTGGGTGGGTAAATTAGGCAGGACTGAGGGGAATGAGGCACACCAGGAGCTGAAGCCCTCACATGAGAGCTCTCTGACAGGCTGTACTAAACCTGGGCGATTTGGATGGAAAGGCCCTCACTACTATTGTCCCTGTGGTGGGCAGTGCTGCCACTCTCCTGTCTGGAGGGAAGGAGGGGATCTCTTTTGCCCCCCAGGGCTGCTGGAAACCCCCTGTAAGGGCAGCAGCTGGGGCTGGATTTGACTGAGCTTGGGAATCACAACCTGCAGTGCAGGATGTGCGGGGGGCTTGGCTGTGCCCAGCCTGAACCTGCCAAGTGCTGTGTCCCCCGAGTGCCCCCAGCTCGACCCCCCGGGCATGCTGAGCCCCAGGCGCCGCTACTGCAGGCCCCACGCCGGGAAGGGGCTCAGGGCTGACCGTGAGCGGGGAATCCCGGAGTACCGGGATCCGCACCGATCCCGCACCAAACCCCGCACCGCCCCCTGCACCGACCCCTGCGCTGCCCCTCAGCAGCCGGCGGGGCCCGGTTCTGCGGGAGGAGGCTCCGCAGGGCTCCGGCACGGCCCGTCCGAGCTCCCCCTCCGTTCCCCGCTCCCGTTACCGGGCCAACGCCGCGGCGCTGCCGGCGGCCCCTGCGCCGTGCTCGCCCCCGCAGCGCGGCGGGCACGCCGCCGCCGAGCCCACCGGTGCCACCGAGCCCGCCGGCGGCGGGCACCGACCCGCCGCTGAGTCGCCGCCGGGAGCTGCGGAGCGCAGGTACGGGAGAGGATGCGGTGCGGGCCGGGAGCGGGGGCGGGAGCACGGCAGCGGGGTGCCCGCCGGCGGCAGAGCCGGTGTTCGGAGCCATCCCGGGGCCCCAGCGAACCCACGCGCGCCGTGAGGGCCAAAGATGCGTCCGGGAGCTGCCCTTCCGCCGGCGCCGGCCCCTGGCAGCGATTTTTTCCCCGCAAAGCAGCGGCGGGGATGACGGCGAGTGCCAGCGCCGGCGGCACCGGGCGGGGGTTGGAGTCGGGGCCGGGGAGGGGCTGTGGCCACCATTGTGCTGTCACTGCCCCACTCTGCCGCCGAGCCCCGGGGTCTGGCCGGGACAATGACCACGGCAGGCAGCGGCCCGGGGCCTGCCCCAGCCCTGGCTGACAGCGGTGCCCTCCCTGCAGCCCACCAGGAGCATGGCCCAGCCAGAGAGCAAGCTGGTGTCCCCGCCGGTGGCACCCTCGTCCCCCGAGCTGGAGTGCCACATCTGCTACAGCCGCTTCGACGCCCGTGCCCGCAGGCCCAAGCTGCTCCGCTGTGGCCATCGCCTCTGTGCCCGCTGCCTGCGCAGGATTGTTCCCCCGGGGGACACTTCAACCCCCCAGCTCCGCTGCCCCTTCTGCCGCCAGCACAGCCCGGTGCCGGGCGGGGACGTGCAGCAGCTGCAGGATGACTGTGAGGCACTGGCGCTGCTGACAGGCCGTGAACGGGCCAAGAAACGGGGCCCGCCCCTCTCTCCTGAGGTACTCCTTTGCCCCAGCGTGCTGGAGCCCACATCCAGCCCCGACTGCCTGGTTGTCACCATCCTGGAGGTGCCAGAGGACGTAGCCCCACCGGAGAGCCTGGGCAGGCTGGAGGTGGTGCGGCTGTACCGCCCCACGAGCCTGGGTGCCCTGCCCTGCCACGGCCCCGGGCAGAAGTGGCGCTCCTGGGGCTGGCAAGCCATCCCCCGCTTCATTCTGGGCGTCCTCTGCCTCCTCTACTTCAGCTCCCTGCCCTTCGGCATCTACCTCCTGCTCATCGAGCACCACAGCCTGGGCATCATCCTGGTCAGTCTTGTGCCCTCCACCCTCCTCCTCTGCATTGTCTACAGCCTCTGCCAGTGCCTGTGCCTGGAGGTCTTTGGGTTCCCCCACTCCTGACCCTGCACAGCCACCCCCTGTGCCTGAGCCAGGCCGGATTTGGGTTCCTTGAGGTACACACGTCCTCTGACCCACAGCATGCTCCGCCTGGGCCACGGGGAGAAGCTCAGTGCCTGGTGCCTTCCCGTGCAGAGCAGCACTGTCTTTTCCATGTGGGTGCTCACACTGGCTGGAGCAGCTGCAGGAGCTCGTGTCAGCCTACAAGCATTTGGGCCAGACCTCGGCTCTTGCCCTCCTCCACAGCAGACAAAGAGCAGGAGCCAGGAGGACACCGATGCCAGCAGAGTGCTGGGCACTGCAGCCAGATGGCAGGAGAGGGACGGGAGAGCCCGGGGGCTCCTGCAGCCGGACTGCCCGGCACGGCTCCGTGTCCAGAGTGTAAATAGTTCTGTCTGCGGCGCCCACGCTCCTCGTGGGGCTGCTCCCATCGCATCTGTGTTTCTTTCTCATGTGTGAGTCTCGTGTTCGCTGACACTGTGTCCCAGAGGGGAGGAGTGGAGGAGTTTCTTTGGTGTGTAAAGATGTCTTTGCAGCTATTTTGTAGTCATTGTGGGTTTTCTTTTCTTTTTTTTTTTTTTTTTTTTTTGCACAGCCTCCAGTCTCTATTTAACCTCCTTGGGTTTTGTTTTGTAAGGATTAATTTAATACTGCTAACCATTTTATTACTTTTATTAAGAAGAGCTAAGTCTATTTTTAATCTCTGCCTTGGACCTGCCCTGCTTCACAGGGGCTCCTCTCTGAGGTACTGGCAGTGAAATTACCCTACCACCTCTGCTGGCACCCCTGCATCCCCACCACACACAGGCACACCAGGAGACCCAAGACAGAGTCACATTTATTACTGTTTTGTGTCCCTCCCACTCTCCTTGGTGAGGCAGCTGCTGGATCTCATGCCTGTCTCTCCTGTCATGCCCTTGGGGACAGGGCGTGACTGTCCCAGCCCTATAGCTGCTCCAGCACCACTGGCACCCCCGGAGGACACCCGTTCTTGCTGGGGGAAGATTCCAGCATCTCTGCCACACTCCAGATCTTGGGTTTCTGGGGCTGCTTGTCCTGCCCAGGGCCTGTTGTCACCTCGGGGCTGCCCCCGCACCCATCCTGCATGGGGCTGGAACTGGGAATGGGGACGGCCCCTGACGGGACCCCCTCGCCCTCGCTGTCCTCGCCATCCGAGGCGCTGTGTGTGGCCCAGCTCGCCTTTTTCTCCTTCTTGAGGCGCCGGCGGGCATTGGCGAACCAGGTGGAGACCTGGGTGAGGCTCATCCGGCTGACCACGGCCAGCATCACCTTCTCCCCCTTGCTGGGGTAGGGGTTCCTGGGGTGTCGCGCCAGCCAAGCCTTCAGTGCCCCGGTGCTCTCTCGCGCCGCCGCCTTCACCCGCCCCGGCTCTGCGGGCAGCCCCAGCGGCACCTCGTAGGGTGCTGAGACCTGGAGGGGCACAGGGGCGTCAGGGTGGGACAGGGGGGCGTGACAGCCAGAGGAGAGGGGCTGTGGGATGTCAGGGCTCGGCCCCTTGTGCGTGGCAGAGGGCAGAGCTGAATCCTGCCCGCCGTTTTCCTCTCCCGTGGGCACCCCAAGTGCCAAGTGCAGGACGGTGTGTGTGTGCGGGCAGGAGAATGCCGGGGCCTCGGGACAGCAGGTCCCCAGCCCCGATTCCAACCACCCCGCACAGTCCCATCCCGGTCCCGGGAGAGCCCCGCATCCCGTTCCTCCCCGGAGCCGCACGCGGCACTTACCAGGGGCGTCACGAGGCTGAGCGGGGCTGGCAGGAGGCTGTACCCGGCCAAAACGGGACAGGGGCAGGAGTAGGGGCAGGGGCAGGGCAGGAGGGCTTGGGGCGGCCCTCGCAGGGTCCCCCAAGGCCCCCCGCAGCCTCCCAGCTCTTGTCCTGGGCTCCTCTCGCCCCGAGGTGCTGCCATTCTGCAGGAGAGGAGCCGGGGAGCTGCTCCCGGGTCTTTTATAGCTGCTGGGGTCTGCAGTGACTGACAGCTGATTAGGGGGTATTAGCACCCACGAGAGCAGCAGCAGGATCTGGGGCACCTGATACCCCCCCTTCCCCAGCTACTGTTGGGCAGGGACTTGCAGGGACCGTCCTTGCCTGCCTGCCACCAGCCAGAGCCCTGCTCCCTCCCAGCCCCCCAGCTCAGCTCCCAGGGATGGGGTACGATGGCACCCTGGGGCGGCACACGGAGCCCCACGACACCCAGAGCCACAAGCACACAGCCCAGCTGGGGCTTCACTGCAGTGCTGAGCTGTGCCCCATCCATGCCCCAGCCCTGACTTGGGGCTGGGGGTGGCAGAGCCCCCTATGCTGTGGAAGGTTGGAGGGCCAGGGGCTGGTGGAAGAATTACAGCCTGGTGGGGGGACAGCGACCCATGCTGGCCCATCCTGCTTGTCCTCTGGCTTGGCCAGGTCCTCACCCAAGCCCCAGCACTGCCATGCCTGCCGCTGGATTCCCAGCAGCAGAGTGACAAAGGGAAGGGTCCCGCAGCCCCATGGACAGAGGGGACCCCTGCAAGGCACTGGGGGGTTCCTGTGGTTGGCACAGCATGGCAGTGGTGGGCAGGGCAGTGGTGGGCAGCTGTGTGAGGGGCCCCGAGAGCCTGCGACCCCCTGAGCCACCTGCTCCTGCCACCACGCCTCCCCACTAAGACTGGGATTATCCCACAGGTTGTATCCGTCATTAAATACCGACTAATAACGCTCTCAGGATATTAAATATGTAACAAACCCGCTTAGCGCTGGCCAGGACGGGAAGGCGAAGGTCACTGGTGCTAATGAGCCCGGCCACATCCCCGGATCCCTGCAGGCCCTGCTGACAGCAGAACGTCCCAGGGCTCAGGGGCCAGCACCCAGAGGTCCCATGCCCCTGCACTACCCCATGGCCAGAGCCCGAGCAGCACCTGGAGCTCCCAGCAGCCAGCAGCCAGAGCTCTGGTCCCATCCATCCCACACTGGGCTGATGGTGTGCTCTGGGCAGCCGCAGGTGCGGAAGCCCCAAGCCAGCCGGGACACTGGTGCTGCTGGCTGGGACCAGCCCTGGCCATGGCCTCGTGGTGGCCCCATAACCTTGTCCCCACGGGACTCGTCCAGCCTAATCAGCGCCGTGGATCTGCTTGATTAGATAATGGGGCTGTAATCTAGGAAAGCGCCTGCAGATTGCGCGCAGCACCCTGACCCTGCACGGCACAGCTGGAGAGGGAGGGCACGGCCGGCACAGCAGGCGGACACAGCTGGAGCCGGGCGAGCCGCAGCCCGGCAGGCACAGCCACACACCAGCGCCACCGGCAAGGCGGGTGAGAAGGCAGCGGACACAGCCACGGCTGGGACAGCCACATCAGCGCGGCCACCTCGGGGAGGTGCGGGGCCACCACAGCTCACTGCCCTGCTGGTCGGGGGGTCCCACAGCGGCCCCGGTGCCACCGCCGTGCCCTGCAGGAGGGCAGGGATCACCCCACCCCCGCGGGGCTCAGGCTTCACAGAGGCTCTCACCGAGCCACGGTGGTTCCCGGCCTTTTTCCCCCTCTGTGGATAATCAGTTTAATGCAGGAGCAGAGAACTAAAACTCTGCGATTAGCTGTTATAATCGCATGTAAATAGGCCCAGACAAGCCGCTCAGGAGGGCGGTGTGTGGCTCGGGACAGAGTTACACGGGATTTAGGCTGTTTACCACTCGATTAATTTCATGACTCCAGCCCCCAGCCCACCGCTGTCCCAGCTGCCTGGCTCGCTTCTCAGGAGTCAAGGTCACTCGGGCGGGAGGCAGCTGATAGCCCAGGGCCTCTGCCAGCAGCGACTGGCCCAGCACAGTGCTGGGCTGCTGGACCCGAGGGCCTCAACTCCAGGACCATGCTGAGGCTGGGCTGTGGCATCCCTGTCCCCTGGAGCCCTAAGCAGGCACACACACAGGTCTCCATCCCTTTTTATTCATAAGCATAGTCAAAGCTTGAGAATGTCACAGCTGAACCCTCCAACAACCACCAGCGGATTAACATGAGAGTCCATTTCTCTTCAGAAGAAAAATAGAGCATCTTCTGCCTCCCTCTCCTTGGTTCCTCCAGTCCAGAGCCCTGCTGCTGCCTGGCCGCAGGCTGGAGATACCACAGGAGGGCTGGCTGCTGGCACACTAGGACCACTGGCCCCATGGCTGCAGGGAGCAGCGGCTGTGGCTGCACACACCTCATCTCTGACACTGCACCACAGTTGTGCCCAGCCCATGGCTTCCCCAGGATCCTCACGTGCTGGGCTGATCCATGGCTGCCCCCGCAGGGAAAGGGATTTCAGACCACCAAGTGCAACAGGCAAAGAGACCGTGCACACAAGGGCTGCCCCTGTGGCTGCTGAGCAGTCTCTGGGGGGAGGTCAGGACCCCAGGGCACAGGGCTGAGTGGCAGCGTGTCCCTGGCTGTGTCTGTGCCCCCACGGCCCCGGTGCGCCCCTCGCAGCCCCGGCACAATAAGGCAACTGCTGGCTGGGGCGGCTGCAGCCGGCGCAGCGCGGTGCTAGTCCGACAGCGTGATGACGTCGTAGTGGATGCCCGGCTGCAGCTGCTGCATCTGCTCCGCTGCTGCCTCGGCGGTGAACACGCCCTGCGCCTGCGCCATCGCCGCATCCGCCACCGCTGCAGGGGAGAGGTCAGTGCTGCCTCTGAGCGAGGGCAGGGGCAGCCACTGCCCGCTCAGGGCTCCCCTCCATGCTCCCCACCTGTCCCCGGGAAGGGACAAAAGGCCACCCTGCCCATGTGGGGCTCCAGCTGGGAGCACAGCTCTGCTTAACCCTGTTCCACAACTGACAGGCAGGGACCAGCAAATATCTGCCCTTGGACACCATGGCTGGCAGCAGAACAGTGATCAAGCCTGATCTTCCCAGCCCTCCCACCAAGGACTGCACAGCTTGCTGCCACCCCAACAACAGGACTGGCACCCCAGCCTGGGAGGACAGGCCCTAATGGCACAGGGCTGTGCTACTACCTGAGACAGCCGAGTGTGCTGCTGCTTCCAGCTGTGCCTGGGTGACGAGCTGCTGCTCTGGCGACACAGGCATGTACTGGATCTACAGAGGGGAAAACAGGGAATGCCTGAGGGGAGGGTTCCTCCTGGAGCTGCTCCAGCCATGGCTGCTGCACTCAGGCACCAGCCCATGAGCTCCCTCTATTTCACATATCCCTCTCCAACTGCAGCCTCAGACCCACCCTCCAGCTCCTGCCAACCATGCCTGGCTCCTTACCTGTGACTCCGGGAGGAACTGGCCATCCTGCTCATACTGGATGTGGGTGATCTGACCATCCTGTACCTGGGGACAAACAGGGAGGCTGTGCTGGGGTCTGTGGGTGTCCAGGCCTCCCAACAATGCTGTGACCCAGAGTAAGCAAGAGGGGGCCCAGCCTCACACGTGACACCCCATGAGCCCCACCCACCATGTGATGGGAGCAGATAGTCTGAAGCTCACCTGGATGTGATGTCCCTCTGGGACAACAACATACTCTTGGGGAAGCAAGTGCGGGACACCTTCCTGGGCAATAATGTACTGAACCTGCAAACATGGGAATTCAGACCCAGAAAAAGGTCACCACTCCCCACCCCCATCAGAAGAGCTGGATTTGGTCTGTTTTCTGTGCCTGTTTCTACCACCCCAGTGCCTTCAGCTCTCCCTGTGGAGCCCTGCTTTCCCCACTGCTGCCAGCTCTTCCCACTAGACAGTCTCCCATCCGTGGGCCATGTCCCCTCACCTGGTTGTCAGCAGTCACTAAGTGCTGTACTGTCTGTCCGTCAGCAGTCGTGATCTCCTGGATGTAGGCTGCTTCCTCCTGCAACGTCAGCAAGTTCCCAGTGTGGTCAGGGGGGCTGGGCCTGACCACAGCCCCACCATGAGAAGCAGCCACAGAGGACATGAGCTGAGGCCAAGGGACCCAACTCACCTGGCTGGTGACGCTCTGCTCCTGTGCAACAAGGATGTGCTCCTGCCCCAGAGCCTGCTGCAGCCGCTCGGGAGCCAGCACGGCCTGGCCAGCCTGCAGAGCTGCTGCAACACAGAGGGTGGGGATGCTGCTGGGGACACTGCCAGGGCTACCCACACCCTCGCTCCCCAGTGCCTGAAACATGCCCCAGTGAAAAGCACGAGGCAGTCTCTGGGCTCTGCTCACCCTCCATATCAGAACCTCAATTCTGCTTCCAGTGTGAGCTGCTCCCACATGTACTGATCTACCAGGACCTGTCTGCAGGGAACACAGGCCCCCCTCATTCTGCACAGTTGCCTGGGCCCAGCCCCTTGGTCTCTGTCTCCAGCAATTCCAACTGCAGGAGAATCCTCCTGGCCCTTCAGCCCCACCAGACCCACAAGCTGGGAGAATCCTGCATGGGACTCTGGATGTAGGACACCCACAGGTCAGCCCTGGTCCCAGGGACATGTCTTACTGTGTAGGGTGGCCAGGGTGTCCTCGTTGCTGTTCAGGATGATGGTCTGCTGGGCAGCAGCTGGCCCTGGCCTTTTTCCCTCTGAGCTGTGCAAACGCTGTGTGTGGAACTTGAGGTGCCCATTACGGTTGAACCTATGGAGAGGCAGAGTGAGGTGGAGTGTGCCACAGGCAGCACAGGATCCTGCGCTCTCCGCAGGACACGGGCCCCATCAGCACATCCCACAACATGGCCTGTCCCCTCTCCCAGCATCTTCCCATCAGTCCCAGGGACTGAACCCTCCTATGCAGAGGTTCCTCGGAGACAAAGTTGGGTCCACCTGCAGCAGGAACCATTCCCAAGGCCACTGTCCCCTCTAATGGGTTGATGCTGGGGAAGGTTTGGGGCAGACAGCTCTGCCAAGATTTTATCTCCTCTTGAGCCTTGCAGAGCTCTGTGGGATCCCTCAAAGCAGGATCAGCCCAGCTCCACCACTCACCTCTGCCCACAGACCTGGCAGGCGAAGGGCTTCTCATTGGTGTGGGTCAGCATGTGCCTGCGCAGGTCCTTCTTGTTCTTAGAGGCAAAGCTGCAGTGGGGGCACTTGTGTGGCCGGAGGTTGGCATGTTGAACCATGTGGCTCTGGGGCACAAGGACAAGTGCTGGGTCAGAAACCCCCGTTTCTCCAAACCCCTTGTTCCCAGGGCTGCCCTGCACCAGGAAACTTACCCGGACCTCTGGCCAGAGTGTGGCAGTGAAGGGACAGTCAGGACACTTGAAAGTGCTGGGCCCAATGTGGGCTCTCTTGTGACTCTCCATCTCCGCTCTCCCTGTGAACATGGCTGTGCAAATCTTGCATGAAAACTTCTTGGCC